TGGGCATTGAGCCGACGTTACGGGGGCGCGAGTAGCTGTACACGTCAAGATTAGCCCTATGTGTCTTTGAAAGGAGATATCCGGGGTAGCATACTGGTCAAGGACCTTCTCGTGGTATCCCCTCGTGGCGCCGACAGTGGCAGCAGGTGCAAGCTGACGAGCGGGCATGGCAGAAGGGCGGACAGAGGTCGCAAGGACCCTGCGAGAGGCGACGCGGAGAGATCTGGAGAACATTTTGGAGGAGTTTCGGACTAGTGGCTTTTCAAAGAGGTGCAGGTCGATGAATATGGAGGTTGAGCAGATTAAATCGATACGAGCGTAGTCGCAAGAGTCGATTTAGGGTATTGTTGATGAGTCGTGATGGCGATGGCGACAAAAGGTGGTCGATATAGCAAATTGCGTTTGGCAAGAGATCGAGGTGTTGAGGGGGGCAGACTTGGAGGGAGGCGAGAAGTTCTTTGAGAGGATAAATGGAAAATGGAAATTATTACGGAGTAGCAGAGAAGGCCTGCGGGACTTGTGACGGAGAACGATGGCGATCTCGGGGGTAGCAGAAGCCGACGGGCCAATGGGAGCGTTCAATGACCATGCATTAAGTCATGGACAGTGGTCGGCCACTGGTCCCCAGGCCCGTACACTGCCTATGCTATCTTGGGCGTTAGCATACAGTCACAGCAGTCGCAGCAGCCAGCAGTCAGTAGTGGACGGGGGTGACGGCTTCAGGGTGGATGGCTCGGCGCCTCGGAGAAGACATTTTTTCATCCGCCTCCACAGCGCCGAGGGTCCCCCAGCCATTAGTGTACACTAATCCGCTTCAAGGTTCCCTTCCTTCTTTAGTGTGTCTCTTTTTCAGCGTGTCAGGATGTCAGAGCTGCAGACCTGCCCGTTATCTGATCCACTCCCTGGAGCATGGGAAACATCTGATTGGCCGGGATGATGCCGTTGTTTCCTCGGCCCAGCAAGAACGCACCGCACCCAGGACTTTGGTGACTTTGGTCCCGTCCTCTTGCCGTCCATGTCGTTGACCTTGCCTTATCGGATCCACAGTACGGAGTAAGGTACATACTTAAGTAAGCTATCAGGTGCAGGTGACCAGCTGGCAAAGTGAGAATCCATTAACCCGACAGCTCTGGGTGCTCCAAGTGGGGATGACTGGGGGATCTTTTGACGGGGCTTGACGGGGCGGCAACAATTTGTCATGGTTCTTCGCCGTTCTCGCCAGCGAAAGAGATTCAATCTGATTAGATACGCAAGCTACCTCCGTGCTCGCTGGAACGTACTCCGCCCAAGGCACCTCAGGTACGTACTTCGTAGGTTTGACGCATTTGTACATGTCCGCTTCCAATGGGAGCCTAAGTCCGGGGAAGCCGCTTACTTGCAATCTGGCACCTTAGATAGCTCCGATATGCATCTATGATGACTTCTCACCACGGACATGCACATAAACCTGAAAATGCATTCAATCCATCTATGCTTTCCTCAAGCTTCCCCACTCTACTACGTAATCCTCAAAATCTGAGGTGCACGCCACACTGTGCCCCCCTCCAAAGCTGAGCTAATGCCACCTACCACTGTCACCTCAGGGAAGCTGCCAAAGTAAGTTCAGGCACCAGGTCCCTGTAACTCCAACGCGGGGCACTCACCACCACCACCACTGCCACCGTCCTCGCCTGCATCAGCTTGAGCACGAGCGCATCTCAGCCTTTCACCTCGTTGCTTAGCTCTCGGCTGTCGCATCCCGTTGGCTGCCTGTTTTGTCTCTGGTCTCAACTGCGAGGCTGAACACAACTCACCTCAGATTCAAAACCATCTTATTGTCTGCGACTTTTTCCCAACTCTTCTCACACCTCTGGATTCGCCGTCAACCCCACACAAGATACCCTACCTTACCTTACCTCAGAGACGACAGCCTCGACCTGGAAGCCTTCTAGTATCGCTCCCACCATGGCGTGCCCGCATCTTGAGTCCATAGCTGCAGGTAATGATCTTCTAGTCTATCCTCATCTTAGCTCTGTCTAATACTACGACACTGACCACACCTCTCCCAGCCCTCCAGCCGCCTGCACCTCACAACTCCGTCTACCGGGAAGACTGCACCCAGTGCTTCGATTCCATCGTGCGCCTCGTCCATGACCCGCCTGCTTCTGCTTCTTGCTGATCCTTTTGCCCAGGACGATCCTGCCGGTGTCGATGTTTGCCTCCAGTGCTTCAACGGCGGTTGTGCCGGTGACCGCAACCATGCTCAGCTCCACCGACAGCTCTGGAGCCACCCGCTCGTTCTCAACATTCGCCGCACCCGCAAAGTCCTTGTCCGAGATGAACCCCCCTTGAAGATGTCCAAGCTCGCCATCGCCGCCGAGACCGAGGCCGACCGATACGATACTACAACCACTGTCAAGTGCCTTGAGTGCAACCAGGAGCTGGACAAGACGAGCGACAAGCTTGCCCCCATTGTGGACGGCATCATGAAGGCCAACACCTTCTCGAGGAAAGAGGAGGTCAAGGCGTGGGAGCAGGAGCTTACGAGCTGCGAGCACATCCTGCTCATGCAACAGACCGAGTCAAGAAACATTCAGTCTGGTGATCTCGGACACTGCTCCGCCTGTGATCTGCACGAGAACCTGTGGCTCTGCTTGGAGTGTGGAAACCTGGGCTGTGGAAGGAAGCAAATGGGAGGTGTCGACGGTAACTCTCACGCCCTCGCGCATTCGGATCAGTCCGGCCATGGCGTCGCCGTCAAGCTTGGGTCCATCACACCCGAGGGAACGGCCGACGTTTACTGCTACAAGTGCGACGAAGAGCGCATCGACGGCGATCTTGGCCAGCACCTCGGACACTGGGGCATCAACCTGGCGAACCAGCAAAAGACGGAAAAGAGCTTGACCGAGATGCAGATTGAGCAGAACCTGCGCTGGGACTTTAGCATGACCACGGAAGACGGCAAGGAGCTTAAGCCTCTGTTTGGCGCTGGATTGACCGGCCTCAAGAACCTTGGCAACAGCTGTTATCTTGCCAGCATCGTCCAGTGTCTCTTTGACACTCCTGCTTTCAAGAATCGCTACTACTTGCCCAGTCGCGACCTGCCTACTGTCCAGGATCCTGCGGCGGACTTGGAGACCCAGCTCCGCAAGGTTGCGGACGGCTTGCTCTCGGGTCGGTATTCTAAGCCCGACTCAGACGTGACTGCATCTGAGCACTCGCCCGAGATTTCGCACCAAAAGGGGCTGGCCCCAGCCATGTTGAAGCACTTGATTGGAAGAGGCCACGAAGAGTTCTCGACTATGCGGCAGCAGGATGCTTTCGAGTTGCTGCAGCACATCTTCAAGCTCGTCACTCGGTCCCAGCATCCCTCCGATCTCGGCGACCCGACACAGCCGTTCCGGTTCACTCTAGAGCAGCGGCTGCAGTGCCTGGGATGCAAGAAGGTGCGATATTCGACTAATGAGCAGGACAACATCTTCATAGACGTTCCTCTAGAGAAGGAACCCACTGTCGAGGGCGAGGAGACCAAGGCAGACGCCTACAAGGCCGTAACTCTCAAGCAGTGTCTCGATAACTTCACGGCCGAGGAGGTTGTTGAGCTGACATGCTCTTCATGTGGCAGCAAGGATGGCTACACTAAGCGCTCCTTGTTCAAGACCCTTCCCGAGAATCTGGTTGTCAACGCCCGCAAGATGGCAGTCATCAACTGGGTCCCTGTCAAACTTGACGTCCCCGTCATTGTCCCCGATGAGCCCTTCCTCCTCGACGACTATCTTTCCAAGGGTCTGCAGTCCTCCGAAGAGACCCTTCCCGATGAGCCCGAGGCCAGCGCCCCAGCCTTCGTTGCCAACCCGGAGGCTGTCAGCCAGCTGGAGGCCATGGGCTTCGGACGCAATCGCTGCGAGCGGGCATTGCATGCCACTGGCAACTCGGACGCCAACGCTGCCATGGAGTGGCTGTTTGGCCACATGGAGGACCCCGACATTGACGATCCGCTCGTTCTGAGTGGTGGTGGCAGTGCTGGGGGAGCCGGAGGAGCATCTGCGGATCCGGAAAAGATTGAGATGCTCGGCGCCATGGGCTTCTCGGTGCCTCAAGCAAAGAAGGCTCTGCGCGAGACCAACGGTGACGTGGAGCGAGCTGTTGAGTGGCTCTTTAGCCATCCAGAGGACCAGGGCATCTTTGAAGACGAAGCCCCAGCCGCCGGAGCCGATCCCGCTGCTCCCAAAGCGGACGCCGGCAGCGCCGCTACCCCTGCAAAGTACCAGCTGCAGTCTATCGCCTGCCACAAGGGCACAAGCATCCATGCCGGGTATGTTGACGATGGGTTATACCTTGAAGACTGAACTTTCGCAGTTTGCTAATATTTTTCATTAGTCATTACGTCGCCTTCGTTCGCAAGGAAGTCAACAGCCAGCCCACTTGGGTCCTCTTCAATGATGAAAAGGTTGTCGAGGCAGGCGAGATTGAAGAGATGAGAAAGTTTGCCTACGTCTACTTCTTCAAGCGTGTTTAGGTAGATTTCGGGGCGTAACAAGAATGGCGTTTCGGTTTGGGAGAGGTGTGACGACGAAAAAAAACATCAAGCCAGGCTCAATCAGTCCTGCGCAACTTCATGACGGTGGCGGTGGGAACGGGCCACGGATGCATCTGATAAGACGGGGATGATTGCATTACAGCGTGGGCGGGCGGTGGTTTACTGTGGAGATGAGAGACGAGACACGGAATGCATAGTGAGTGGTGTAGAAAAAGGGAGATTCGAGGCTAGTTATTAGCCATCCATTGTGAAAATGAACTTTTTCCAGAGACTGAAATTTGCCTGTTTTTCTTCCGTGAGTGGTCATCGTACCACAGAACAATAACCAAACGCCGTGACGCCGCACACACATCATATTACATACACACAGATTTCCATGCTGTGTTCTCTTCCCACTTGGCCTTTCAACCTTTTCTCGTCCGCCGACAAGCCGTAACCTCGCATCATACAGCAAACCCGCCCACACGAGACTTGCCGAATTCTACTCCGCCAAGCGATAGCTGACGAGGGTGTCAACACGGTGATTGCTGGTGCTGAACCCACGCAGCTGGACGCGCTCGCCATTGACAATCTCCTTGGCGTCGCTGTCGCCCCACTCGACGGGCACCTCAGAGTCGGCGTCGGCGTACACGAGGACGTTGAACGTGCAGTCTCCGTTGAGCTGGGGGAGGAACGTGACGGAGGCGGTGATCTGGCGGAAGATGGCGGCGATTTCGGATTGGATTTCTTGTTCCGTCTTTTCGGGGGCCGCGTCCTCTGCCGTGGCGGGGGATGCGTTTTCTTGGTCTGCGGGTTTTGAGGAGGATGACTTGGAGGACGAAGAGGTCTTTGAGGATTTGGACTTTGAGGGGCGGCCAAAGATTTCGACGTCGAATTGCCAGCGTTCTACGTGTTCGCCCGTGTCCTTGTCTGTGATTACGATGACGAGCTTGGAGATTTTGCCGCGGAGCATCCAGCGGTCTAGTTGGGACATGATCTTTTTGATGTAGGCTCGGACTTGGTCGTCGGAGGAGACTGGAGGGGGAGAATACGGTGTTAGCTTATGGGGGATCTTTGCTGGGCGTGAAGGTTGCCGAAATAGTGTGATGGATGTGTTGGCGGGATGGGGTGTGAGGAAGGCGAACCTAGCATATTGAGACCGTATTTCTTGACGCTGTAGAGGATGTGTGGTTAGTCTCTGTTTGTCGCGGGAGGGCGGAGGAAAGTAATGCTAGACGTACGCTGAGAAATCTTCTGCCGGGTAGACACCTCGCTGGAAGCTATTTGGAGGACATGTATGTCAGTATTCGAATCGGCGCAGCATCTTTCGAGGGACCAAGGTTCGTACAGGATTGTGTGTATCGAGTATTGAAACTGCAGGTACGAATTAGCTTGGCGCAACCGCTAATAGGAAGGAAATAGACTGACGAATTCGGCCACGAGCTTTGCGCTTCCCTTGAGGGCGAGCTTGTGCACCTTGGATTTGTCCTCCTTGTCCTCCTTGTCGGTCTTGCTAGCCTTGCTGGCTTTGGCGGGTTTGGCGTCGGGGGCCATCGTGAAGGAATTCGGGATGTCGACTGACGGTATCGATTGACGGTGCTAGTATCGGTGACGGTGTCGGTGTCGGTGTCGCCGGACGGAGGAGGAGTTGATGAATCGGGGGGGGGGGGGGGGGGGGGGTCGCGGGGGGGGGGAAGAGGGGGGGGTGTTTTTTGTTGGGGGGGTGGGTGGGGATGGGGGGTGGTTTGGGGGGGTTGGGGGGGGGGGGGGGGGGTGGGGGGGGGGGGGGGGGGGGGGGGGGGGGGGGGGGGCAGCGTAATCGGGGAGGAGGAAATCGGAGAGCTTGTTTACTTTCTGGGGTTGAGATTGAGAATTGGGATCGATTTTTGGGGGTTTGGTTGCGGGGTGATTTGGGTGCTGCCAGCGCTGGCTGTCATTGCTCGCGGCTGATTGCCCCGCCGCCTGGACCGTCCGGGGGTCGAAGCTTCCGGCAGTCCACCTGGGTACGTATCTTGACCAGGTGCACCCTTCACCTCACCTCACCTCACCTCACCTTGCATTGTTTTACCTCACCTCACCTTGCCGTGCTTTACCTCACCTTACTCTCTACCTTATCTTGGCCTCTGAATAGACATATAGAGGCCCTCCTGTCGGAAGCGAAATCATTTCTAGATGGCAAAACCCTATAACCAAATAAGAGTGAGCCTACGATGAGTTGAGGCATTGTCTTGCTACCAATCCGTTCACACCTACATCAAGGAATCAGTGACTTGGCTGCGATGGACTACCTTGATGCTGATCATCTCAAGATACCTTACTGCCTCTCCTTAACTAGATGTACATATGACTTTTGTACATGATAACCAACTTACATCATTATGTTAGTACAGCATTGATCCCGCCTAAACATGCCCCTTACTCGCCATTCCCATACCCCTGAATGGCATCAAAGAACTGCGCAGACCACGCCATCGAGTCCACAATCTCCGCAGGCCACTGGCCGGGCGCCGACGGAGCGACACCCATACCAAGCATCCCCATATCCTGCGCGGTAGCAGAGTCCGGCATCCCGCTCAATACACCCATCTCCACCGGCGACAGCATCGCCTGCTGCGCCTGATGTTGCGCCTGCATCGAGCTGTTTGGCACATGATGCTGCGGTTGCTGCTGCTGATGTTGTTGCTGCTGCGGCATCTCAGCGAACACCGCCGGCCGGGGCGGGTTCTTGCTCTTCCAGTCGATGCCGCACTCCTTGAGCCCCTTCAACATATCCCGGGCGCTCTTGGCGCTCGACGAGTTGCAGCTCAATGCCTCAAACATCTTGAGACACGTCTCCGCATCGTCCGAAAGGCCCTCGGTGTCAAAGACGGCCTCGTCCTCCGCCATGGGCTGCGTAAACGTACTCGATATCAACAGAATGGAGCTCGCGCATAAGAGACACGAGATCATCTGCCACCAGGGGAAGTCGTGGACTAGGTCCTTCTCGCTCGAGACGCCGTGCAGCAGCCGCGCCGTCTCCCGCGCCTCGGCAACACATGTCTTTTCTGATATGCTGACGAGATGCCAGTCTACCTCGGAGATTGTGGAGGAAGTGTCGTCAAGGCCGCGGAGGAGGGGGTAGCACAGGTATGGCCGGTGCAGAAGAGCCCGCAGGTGGTGAAACTTGACTGCGAGGATGTTTCGCTGGTGTTTGTTAGTACTACGTTCAAATTTCGCACACACAGTGCAGATCACTTCTGCAGAAACCTACCTGTCTCTTGAATGCAAAGTTCTGGTCAAAGGCATGCCCCAGATCAAATCGCAACCGTCGCGGGAGCTTCGACTTCCAATCCACAAGCTGGCGATCCAGTTCCCTTGTCCGGAGGGCACCCGCAGAGGTGAGCTGCGAGTGCCTCGGCCCAAAAACATCCCGCAGCGCGCGGCCCAGAATCTGCGAGAAACCAATGACGGCGAGGAAGTAGTCCCCGCCCGACGTCTCCTCGACCGGCGGCTCCATGTGAGTGGCCTCCCAGTCAATCTCCGAGTCGGCACGCCGCGAAGGGAGCGGTACATTGAAGTCGTCCTCGTGTACGGCCGCGGGGCGGCCCAGCTGGAGGGAGAGGAGACGGTCCAGGACGTAGATGGAGTACCACACCCGGCGACGCGTCTCGGTTTCAACCGTGTGCCGGGGGTTGTTCTTGTCCTTTTCGACGTGTAGACCGATGCCTTGAGCGATTCGGACGGCTTGGCCCAGGGTCATCCAGCAGCTGTGAATGTTAGATGTGTGCAATGGGACATGGTGAGACAATGCAAAACAAACCTGTCCGTCCGAGATACCGCGAGATAGTAGAAACATTGCGTCAGAAGCAGTGAGACCTGGTTGATGGACCGATCTGAAGATGCCGTTGATGCAGCAAGAGCTAAAGCACGCTGGAAGTAGACGCCATGGAAATGGCGGGTATCTGAGTTCTTCTCCAGAAAAGACGTGTAGTATGAACCGATGGCGCAGATTACATCTATGAGTTACGTTAGCCCCGTCTTATCTTGCTATCCCACGGCTCCTAGGGAGGTTGATAGAAAAGGGGGCGAATGAGCGCATGATTCAAACCTACAATAAAGAGCAGATTCCGTGCCCCCCAAACGATCACCGCCGTTGGGCGCGCCCCCTATCCTGTCACACAGTTTCGAGAAGGTAGACTGCGGTATAAAAGGGTACGCGAGGTGAATGGTTGCAAAGTACACGTCGGTGAACTTGCGCTCCTGTTCGGGGCCTGGAAGCTCCACCAGCCTCCCTCCTGCGGCAGCGCCGGCGAGCAGCGCGTCGCCGTCCTGTTCGTAGCTGTCAAAGTCGTGGTCCGCCCCTGCACTGCTGCCGCCACCGCCGCCGCCGCCGCCGCCGGGAGCGTCTTTTGTCTGTAGGATTCGCTTAATGACATTGAAGAAGTGCACGTCGCTGACCTCGCCCAAGTATCTCTGGCTAGGCTTGAGCGAAGGTGTCGGGGAAGGTTGGTAATCGTGGTGGTTGTGCTGTCCACGGTCCACGCCCGGCGAGTATGACGGCGTCTCTGTCGAGGAGGTCTTATTCACGGCCTGGTCAACTTGCGACTTGATGGAGTTGAGCTGCGCTTGGGCGTCTTGCTGCTGTTGGGCAGAGGGTAGCTGTGTGATGAGGCTCTGCACTAGAGTCTCATACTGATCTACGGCGATCTTAAGGGCGGCATATGTATGCGCGCCGGGGCCAGATCCGGCTGCTGGACCTTCTGCGCCGGCATCTCCGTTGCCGGTGGCCTTTTCCCGTCGTCGACGAGGTCTTCCTACGGAGTAGACGCAGTCGTAGCCATACCCGACGCATCTTCCACACTTTGGCTGTTTCCCGTCGCACTATCAATTTGTATGAGTAAGCTGTGAACACATAGGTCTAATGTCAATGCGGAAGAAAGGATGTTAGAGACTTGGGCTGTTTAATCTCACTTTGGATTTCATGGATCGGCATGTCTGGCAGGCCTTTGCGACCCGCTTACGCTTGTATACGGGTTCATCGTCGGCGGTATCTGACATTCTCTCGCAAAGGCGCGCGAAAGCCGACTTTCCCGAACAAAATAGCTGCAATAGTGTTTTCGCTTTCTAATGGGCGCGAATAAAGATATACAAGGGGGGTGTGGCGGATGAGAAGGGGGGGAAAGAGTGTGTATTGTACGAGAGCAGTTGGCAGAATGACGTTGGGGGACGGAGCCGGTGATGCCGGGACTTCCGATATTTCCGGCGGGTGTCAGTCCCTTATAACTCACCTATCTAGTAGGTACTTTGGAACCTCGACCGCATTCTCGCTAGGGCCCAAGCCAAGCAAAAGGTCACCACTCATCTTAGCCCGCGCCAAGAAGAAGCAACGCCCGGCCAAGGTATTGAGGGGTTGCGTTGAAGTGGTGAATGAGGGGACCAGTTTCATCCGACTTGTCTGTGCCTGTCTTGTCTGCAACTTTGACGACGAGTGCTGAATCGTTCGGATGATATGCGGGTCAATTCCCTTACACGGGCAGTACAGTAACCCCTCCAGTGATGCAGTTATCCCAGGAATGAGGATGTCCTTTGCTGACTGTGCATGCATCTCTGCCAACGCAGAACAGACTAAAGCATGAAGAGTGTTAAGTTGGCAACCGCTTATAAGGAACGAGAGTGCTCAACTGGATAGCCAGACTGAATTGAGAGGATCGGTTTGTCACTCACATGTAAGTATGTATACGTCTAGTGTGGTTTGGTCGGATAACTCTGTCACTATTTCCCACTTTTTACTCTTGCTTGTTTGAGATAGGTGGCTTTCAGTAGTATTCTTCTGCGGCTCCCGCTAATGACTTGTGCAGTTCTTCGTGACTTCGACTGCTAAGCCGAGTGACCGCACTTATGGCACTATTGGCATATGGGCCAACGACTCAATACGATGCAGCTGAGTATTCTCACATCCCCCGAATCTCGCTCTTTCTCTCCCCCTCTATCTGAAGTGAAGGATGTTTGGCACACCATGGGAAACTGTCCTACTTACAACCCATGCGTCACCTTGTTGGCTTTAGACCAGCCCACGTCTCATTCTTCAACCCCCTTGACCTGCTCTATACGATGGATAACATCACTTCCATCCGGACTCGCTTCAATCACCATGGCCGATAGCTCTCTACCATACGCACATCCAGAATCCAAACCAAAAGCATACCTGGTCCATGGTCCTTGGGCTCCCTTCTCCTTGAGCGATTCCGGTACTTGGATGTCTGGTTCCACCTGCAACCCTTCCTTGGCGTCGTGACCATACACGACAACCGAGCGATCCTCTGGTGCTTCAATCATGTTCTGAGTCTCGTTCCAAGCCTCTCTCCAGCGTTTTCCATCATTGAGTTCAATGGCAATGGTCCCCCCCTCTTGATTTGTTGCAATCTTTGAAACCTCATCACCATCCCACAGACTTAAGACTCGTGCCAGCTCACCATCGAGTCCCTCGCCCTTTGCGACCTGAAATGCCGCATGTCGACACAGACGGCTCTTGATCCTCTTCGCAAGAGCAACTTCAACGTTCTCCGGGTGGACGCTGTCGATCGGATACACCAGGCTGCGCATGTTCATCACAGCCCAAGGATCTTGCTCCTCCATCGGTAGCAGCGGTACCAGACCACCATGCGCGACCACCACAGTCCCAGAGTTCCAAGGAGGACTCTTGGCGCCTCTGAACGGTCCGATGTGCAAGATGAGAGGCAGCGATGAGAGCCACGATACCTGCTCCTCAGAAAGCTGCGTCGCAGTAACGTAGTCGCTCGACACGGCGTACGGGATATCCGCCGGCAACTTCTCCTTGCTGTCTTCGAAAACCATCTTCCCGTCATCGCTCGTAGACCCAGTAACCCTGCCGCGCTCAATGAACCCACGCGCAGCCAGCACGCGGTCCTCGTTGTTGCCCCTGACGCAGCTGGCGCCGAGGTCCATCGCGAGCTGTACCACGCCAGCGCTGTCGGGGCCTTTGTTGACCAAATCACCGGTAAAAACTAGGTAGTCCCCCGCATCTTTATCGAAGCCGACTCTGTCCAGGAGCTTTTGCAGCTGTGATGCTCGTCCATGAACGTCGCCCACGATGACTAGCCTTCTCCGGAGAGCGCCGCATTCTGCCGACGGCACGTACTTCGGGTCCAAGGTTTGGACGGTCTGTCGAAAATCATACTGGGATGTGGTATGGCTTGGTTTAGGAATATTCTCGACTGGGTCCATCATCCTTGCGAAGTGTTGAGTGTGTTGAGAACAACAAACATTGTCTTCACGTGCGGGGAATAAGACGGGTGGACCTGACAGTAACGAATCAGAGGGGGGACCACCAACCAAAAGAGAACATCAAATGCTGTGTCAAGATGTCAGCTCGCCTCAGTACTTAGGCAACGAACAGCAACTGCATGAAATAGTAGCCTGTAAGTATGATGCCAAAGCTCGTCCATGAGGATGGAAGCTTCGTACCGGATATTTGGGGTCTTTGTTAAGTTTAAGATCAAGCCTCTGTAGGTAGTTGGTTTGGGATGATCGCAGATCATAGCAACTCTAAAGCTCCGTGTCCCCTGTAAGTCATCAGCCTCAAGCTCTTGACATTGGAGATAAACCCTCAGTTCCCGCCAAGTCTTGCCAGTAGATCTGACTGAAGGGCTGTTTGCGAAAGCGTTTTGAGAGCAGGCTTTGCGATTCGTGAACGCTGCAGGCGCAGCCCGTTTGACACAAGGCAATGTAAGATAGAGAGGGTATGCCGGCCTAGATGTAAGTGTCCATTTACATGCTTCAAGACGAGCGATCCAACATCAACATCTTGGCATTATGATTGCATGGATGCTCAGTGAGTCGCCAATCCTCAGAAGAAAGCCAAGGCACCTCACATTGCGATGTCGCACTGTCACTTTGTGGCACATATGCAGGACTCAACATCATAAGGCCACTTCGCGGTAGTTACTATGGAGATAGGACTAGATTTAAAAAGCCAGGATACTTCTGTGAAACGTAGTGCCAGATCTAGTAACGAAGCCTTAAGAAGGCAAAAGCGTTCAACCAATCTCTGCAAGGAACAACTACAAATGATCAGTCTCAAGGCTGAATCTCGGCTTCTGAACCCCTTCGCCACGCCCGTCCTTGGGGACACCGCTCAAATTACGGGTATGCAGTCCAATTTCAAAGTCCATCTTGTCCGTATCCTTCTTCGTCCAGCCTTCAACCGGTATATGTGTTCTGACCTCCAAATGGTTCTGGCAATTCTTGCACCCAGATACGTGCCAACGACTGAGCACGGCCTCCGTCCCGACCAGCACCTTTTCTCCGCTCTTCAACGTGGCCCAGGCGGAAACGACAAAGGAACCCCCGATGGCGGCGCGGTTGATGCCGCTGACGGTCAACACGGGACTCGGACCATGAGGCTCGCCGACCCGCGTCGGGGGTTCGGGGTAGTCGTATGCGTAGCCCAGCTCGGCAATATTGACCACGTCTTTGGACGTCATTGCCTTGTCCGCGCCGTGAGGGTTCCTGAATGGGTCGAGGGGGCTGTCGAGGGTGAGCCAGGTGCCGCCCGCCACGCCGGGCGTTGGGCCCTGATTGTCGACGGAGTTGGTGCCGGGGTAGCCCTGGATGATTTCGAGTGAGTGCTCCTTGTTGTGCTTCTTCTGCCACCGCCAGAACATGAGGTCGATGAAGCAGTGGTGGAAGTAGAAGATTGGGTCAAAGGCGGCCGTGTCGTTCTCGCCCATGTCGCCGTTTGCGTCGCCGATCTGGTCAGAGTTGCTGCCAGGTAGGTCGAAACCGCCGACGGCCAAGTGAATCAAGTTGTGCGGGGATTCGAGTGGTACGACGGACTTGAACCCGGGCTCTTGAAGGCCCTCGTCATTCCATTGCTGCGCGGAAGTCGTATTGGAGAATACAGTGTAATTGGGAGCGTCGAGGCAGTGGTAATACTTATCCTTGACTCCGGCAGATTGCCTTTTCCCGTCGCTGTTCAAGAAAGAAGACTTGGTGAGCCAGGTGGTAATGTTGTCATTGAGCATCTTGTTCGTGGCCTTCTCTCCCATTTCATGCAGCGAATTGTTGTGAACCCAGGTCTTGCTCTTGTCCTTCGGGCCCACAAGCCCCGAGAATGGGTAGCGGACGGTCTCATAGCCCACAGGCTTGGTGTAGTCGGCATCCGGGATAGGATCGAGCCTATCCTGGATTCTGGCCTGGAACGTGTACGAGAACAGTGGATTGGAGATCTCCTTGCCAGTGTCGGAGAACTTGTACTTTCTCTGCAGGAAGATGGGAGGAATGCCGTGCTCTAGGGACTCCTTTTCGGTCTCATCCCAGTAGGGCAGAGCTACACCGGGGACCTGGCTCTGGAGAGCTTTCTCGAGCCTCAGGAGGTAGCCGCGGTGCCAAGTTGGGAAGAGGACATTGCCGTGGTTGCAGTAACCACCCCACCAAGCAGGATTGGCGTATCCAGCACCCCTGAAAGGCTCGCCATGGTAACCGGCAATGATGAAGAAGGAGTTGGGATCATGAGGGGGAAGCTGTTGGATGCCGTGGAATGCCCTGACGAGGTCGTCGAGCTCCTTTGTAGACAATGTGCGGATGTTCTTTCTTGTGATTGTTCCGCCCATATTGAGACTTTGACGAGGCACTCGATGATTTCTCAGAAGAAGTGAGTTTGAAAAGTTGGGGGGCAAGTTGATAGAGATTTATTGTGAGAATGTGAGTATTTACCAGGTAGATATAGCCGAAGGATATCCAATCCTCATGTCGATACTAAGTGCTGTATTTTGGTACCAACCTCTCCAAGACGTTTTCAGTCATTCACATTCAGCTTGATGAACCCTAAATGCCGTGATGTGCCAACTTTGACGGATGCTATTCGAACGAAATACGGATTATATGCTCGCTATATGTCACAGATGATCGTTCCCCGCATCTTTAATGAAGCCTAATCGACGCATCTGGTTACCCGGCTTGCGTGGCTGGAAGCTGAAGTTTAGAGCCAAAAAGCTGAGAGAATGTCTCACCGTTGACGGCTTACAAGCTTTCACCGGACCTTTCTCACCTATCACTGCCACAGCCTTTAGTTATGTTCTCTCCAGTTTCCCCAATTCGACAATGGATTTGCTCAGAACGACGCGTCAATAACCTACGATAGTGGTTGCTAAAGCTGCAGAGTCGACCTCGACTTGTCTCGAATGAAGCCCATAATTGCCGCGACACGATTTGATCAAGTGCAAAGAAGGCGCAAAGCATGTTGCGATATCACAATAACGTCTTGGCCAGAACATGATGTCGTGCTACTAAGAGATTGGTCGTAATGTGCTGTGCAACGGTAGACGTTGAACAGCGTAGGCGTACCTTCCAGAGGCCCACTTAGGGGCGACCTTAAACAATCGATTCCGCACGCTTCCCGCTCTGGACGGAAGGGAAGACAGCGAGGATCCACCCGGATATGTGAGCCACACACTGCCGAATTGATGTAGGTGACACCGCGAGACTGTCAATATGCGGTAGTCCGTGATGACCCGTGGCTAACTGACACATAGGGGCACGGCGGGACAAGGACAACTGTGTGACGAGGCGCGTCTCAGTTCCATGCGATGAGAGAAGAGGCAATGATATATGTGGCTACCGTTCTTGCCCATGGGACAACATCAAGTAGGTAAGGCAAGGTACTAACGTAACAGTGACGGCCGAGGCGAGCCATGAGAGGCCATTGGCTGTAGCCACCGCTGACGAGGTGGTGTGGAATAAAGCCGGAGCTCTTGTGGGGCCGCCATGCCGCGATCGGGTCGGAAGCCGTTGCTGCAGCATCAGAGGCGTGTTTCCTTAAGTACATGACTTGAATGCCAAGCTATCACTATAGAAGCCATATGGTTTATCAGTTTTCGTGGCCTGTATGTAGCTGAGCGTTGCATCTGGGCGGAACATCTCACGGTGACCAAATATGTGCTGCGGGCTAGGAACATTTGAACGTGGGAGCAGCACCTCAGTTGAAGAGGCCGTAGCAGGGTACCTGAGTGCCTTACGGTGCCTTACCTAAGCTGAGGTACCAAGCACGTGCCAGGATCTGAGATACGGAACGGAGGTTAGGTAATCCCAGGTTCTGCCGGCCGAGTGGATTTCCTCGCTTAATCCGCTGCCCTGAGTCGCTGTTGCTCCCGATGTTCTTCCACACAAAGTCCCCGGTGACTGGGGATACGTACCTAACCTGAATCTTCCAGGCTGGGGTGAAATGCCCACAGTGCAGGGCCCAGACCAACACCTCCACTCTCCCTCTCACCGGGGCCATCGCCAATCGACCAGCCGACCAACGAACCAACAAGGAAAAAGAGAAGAAAGCGGAAGAAGAAGAAGAAGCAATCCCGGCTGGGAGGTTCACCAATTTCTTTCTGCATCACCGCTGGACGAAGCAGCTCGAAACGAAACAATGGGGCCCATTGACAGGTGCGTCCCGTCCGACATGGGCAGGCCGCACACAGGAAACCCCGAGAACTGAGAGACACATTGATTGATCTACGGTGGCATGGGTCTCATCTGACGTTGGGCGAATGCGGTCTGATATCAGTACTCGGTTATCATTCCATGATCACGTTGCATCGATCGCACATCTCACCAAAAAAAAAAAAAGTCTCCACGCTCCGACATGACATGAACATGCACGCAGTGCGCACTAGCATCTACTCCGTACGCGATGGAACTTGACATTCCAAGCTGAAAGTCCGACATAAGCTTCTTCAGTAGCTCCATAATCCATCGTTCCATCCCCATGGCCAGGGGCCCGGGCATATCAAAGGTCGGTCAGATCTTTTTACCTTGGCTTTTGGGGTTTCGGGTGTGGCTGACTGAGAAACCAAGAGGAAGAGAGAGGCTTGTTGCACGCTTGTGCTTGTTGCACCCGTCGACGGCCTACACAGTTTGACACATGCTGTCTGTGGCAGCGCCAAATAGTCACCCTTTTTTCGATGACGACGCCATGGCAGGTGCAGCGGGACCCTCGGTCTTCTGCAATCCCGCCGTTGGCACCGTTGTCTGAATCAATGATGACATGAACCATCCGCTCACTTCTTTATGCGTATGTCTGACTCTCTCTCCAATATTTTACCCATCTACTCGGGCCGACGAGAAGCAGCCAGAGAAGAAGAGAAAAGAAGTAAAGACAGTCGACATCCATCTCAACACCAACACCTCCAACACCCACCGCCACTAAATGTTACTTTGTCGCTTGTGCCACCCCAAACACACAACAACAATACCTAGCAACACCACCAACACCACACATTCGGGAACTGCCCAGACCCTTACTGGCTTGCAAAGCTCATACTATTACCCCGTATGCCACTCTTCCTCAACTTGGAAGCTGTCTGGATTCGGTAAAAAGCCCGCATCAATAGGCTCCTCTTGGTGCCGCGCACATTGACCACCCTCCGCCCTGCTACGGCCGTACCGTCCCGCCCGCGCCGCCTTCTCCAAAACAGCTTGCATGAGAATTCCGCTACATACCTCGTCAAGTTATCCTGGGAGTTGTGAATCATTCCCCTTCTCCTCGCGTCCGTTCCGCTGGACTGTCGCAACCACGTTGCTTTTCTACCTGGTTGTCTGATCGGATCTGAGATTTTTCAATCCGATTCTTCGCATCGCTTACTCGGAATCCCGTCTTGGTCGCATCGTGGATTGCGCATGGGTATCTCAATCCCCGTCCCATCTCACCAACACTCCGGGTAAAGTGGTATCGATCGACCATTGACGACCAAAAGTTTCTCATTCACTCTGCTCACTCTCACCTTGGACATCCACACACACACACATACACACACACCCCTCATCAACTAACCGAACAACCACCCGCTCCTACGTCCGTAACCGTTTTCACCGCACTTCCGTGCCCCCGGTCGATAATTACTCGCCTCTCGCAACAGTAGGTAGGTATCTCGCTCTCGCACCATTCAGCTCGTCTCCCCCGTATCGCCCTCACAGTCACCTACCTACGTTTACGGAGTACTGAGATACATCTCAAACACTCACGCCGCACTGCTTCATTCATCCCGTTTGATGAATGCTCCCGGCGCTTAATGCTTGTACATCGCCTGACATCCTGCGTAGCAACACCGTCATGTAAGCAGACCCATCCCATGGCCCGTCAACATACATATGCATTCTACCTACCTTACTTAAAAGATCGCCATCCTCTTCCCTCTTTCTCATCTCCGCTCTGCAGCTCATCTACGATCTCATCGTGCCTACGTTTCATCCATCTGTGCTGCCTCTCTGACATGGGTCATTAGATGCCGCCGACCAACAATATTTGCTTCTTCTTCCTGGGGGCCAAAAGATTGTCCACCTCTTGCATAGCGGATTCTTCACTTCTTTCACAACTCACCGACTCTAACGACAACTACACTACCTCACCGATACACCGAGCCTCACCGGCCACTTGCACCGATCCGGTCACTAGCAAACTAGCAAACACCGGCTGAAAAATAGCGTAAGTTGATACCTGCCAGTTCACGTGGCAGCTTTCATGCGTGTGCCTCATCTTGAGTGTCTTTCACTCGACATCTGCTGTCCGTGCAGTACTCTTGAGTGAACACACTCACTACTCTCTTACTCATCTTACCTCATGCATACTTCTGCCTCAGTATACAACTCGCAAATATCACTGACCTTGGACTTAGACGGCACACACCAAGCTGCAAACCCAGCACCACACCGCGCCCATTCATTTCTGTTTACATAGATAAAGTCCCAAAATGGCTACCACAACCACAACCACAACGACTACGACCTCCATAACAATGTCTACCAACACCAAGATCCCAGCCAGAACCGTCAGGCGTACCGCGAAAGACGAGGCAGCAGACCTTCAAATGTTCGAGGGGAACCGTCTCAGGGCGCCCTACGAAGAATGGCCAAATGAGGCAGGCGTGAGCCTCCCCTTCTCTTACATCAATGCCCTCCAAGACGCCAGCTAACAGCTCTAGTTCGATGGCCTCACCGAGGAACGCGGTCCCATCGAACTGCACGTCCAAGGCCAGATCCCAGTCTGGGCCGCCGGCGCCCTCTATAGAACGGGCCCGGGCAGCTGCAAGATCGAAGACACACCCAAGGGCACCTACTACGTTTCCCACTGGTTCGACGGCTTCGCCCAGACGCATAAGTTTGACATTACTCCTCCTGAATCCCCAGGCGGTCAGACCCGCGTGCTCTACTCCTCCAGACGGCAATCCGACGACCTCGTCGCCTCCATCAAAGCCGCAGGCCACCAGAACCGCTACACCTTTGGCCAAAAAGCCGACCCTTGTGTCGGGATGTTTGGCAAGTTTATGGGTGTCTTCGCCCGCGGCACTGCTCCCAACATCTGCGTTGCCGTTAACGCAAATGTCCCCGGCTTCGATACGAAAGATCAAGGCCCCGCGGGGCCAGGCCACCGTAACGCTGTCCGCAGCCTTTGGCTATCAACCGACTCAAGCCCTCTCATGGAGATTGACCCAGCGACCCTGGAACCCATCGGCCTCGCAAAGCAGGAAAAACTCCATCCGTCTCTCTCTGGCCCCATGTCCTGCGCCCACGCCCAGCGCGACCCGGTTACTGGCGACATGTACAACTTCAACCTTGCCTTCGCCATGAAGTCGACCTACCGCATCTTCCGCACTAGCTTTGCGACGGGCGAGACGGAGATTCTTGCAACTATTGCCGGGCCCGACGCGAAGCCAGCCTACATCCACAGTTTCTTCCTCACAGAATCGTTCATCGTACTATGCATTCCCTCGTCGCACTTGGGCTACAAAGGCCTCTCTGTCCCCTGGGAGCGAAACATTCTAGACGCCATTGTGCCGTTCGACAAGACCAACACATGCAAATGGTATTTCATCGATCGCCACCAGGGGAACGGCGTCGTCGCCTCTTTCGACACCCCCGCGGGCTTCTTCTTCCATGCCACAAACGCCTTTGAGGAGCCGGCGGCCGACGGCAGCGACGGCATGCTTGACGTCTATTGCGAGATAGCAGGCTACCAAAATCTCAACATTCTCTATAATCTCTACTACGACGTCATCATGAATCGCAACTCTGCCGGCGAGAAGTTTTGGACAGACGAGAACAAGCGCTACAAGAACGGCTGGGCTAGCCTCCAACGCTTCAAATTCAGAATCCCCAAACCCGACGACTCACAAACACAAAAAATAACAACAGTGACGACTACACCACCACCGGAGCTCGTGGTCTCGATCCCGGCCCCGCACGCCGGCGAACTCCCCACAATCAACCCTGCGCACTTGACGAAACGTCATCGCTACGTCTACAGCCTCTCGGACCGCGGCCTCAGCACCCTTCTCGACACAATCGTCAAGACGGACGCCGATACCGCCGAAGCTCTCATGTGGGAGTGTCCCACGGCTCACACGCCCGGCGAGCCAATCTTTGTTCCTCGGCCTTCTTCATCGCCTGGCGGCGCCGATGGTACTGATGGACAGATGGCCGAAGACGACGGTGTGATTCTGAGTGTCGTGCTCGACGGCACCGCGCAGACAAGTTATCTCTTGTGCCTCGATGCCAGGACCATGACGGAGCTCGGCAGGGCAGAGTGCGAGTTTGCCGTTGGCATTGGCTTCCACGGCATCCATGCCCCTTCCGCACCGGGCGCGTAGTGACCGATTATTTCTATACCTTCTCGATCCCCCTTTTACAACCTTCTTATGAGCCTTACGATGAATGAAACTTGCGGCGGTGCTGGAAGGATTGGTTGGTCTGGCGTTTTACGAGACAAGTGATCATGCGGGATAGAACTTCATTGCGGCAGACTTTCGACGACAGGGATTTAGACGTCTGCAAACTGGTTTCTCAGGCTGACATGGGGTTTTATTCTTTTCGAATGTGTTGATAATGAGCCTGTACTGAATGATTTGCTACGGCTGAGCTTGGTTGAGCTGAATGTACCCTAGACCTTTCTGAATTAAAAGACTCCCACTGCTCACCTTTCGCTACTTTCTGTAGGCTGTCAATTGCCCAAGGGCACTCAGCTGCAGCCTCGTCGAACATATGGCGCAATGTATTGCTACAGAGGAGAATAAACGATAGGTTGGGCATTATTTCGCCATGAAGCGCAACTACTGGTACGAAAGGCACAACGGGGAACATGTATCCTTCGAGCAACCAAGCATCTCCGGCATGATCTTTCTCAAGCCCTCAGACCAGCCTTTAAAAGTCCCCGTCAAACTCCAACGTGATCTCGACTCCCTTCTCCGAGTGAACCGCGGAAATGGGAACAGTAACAATGGTCGCTCTGACGCCGTGGTTGACGTTGTAGTGGAGGTCCGCGCCCGTGACGTTGACCTTGATGGAGTCCAGGTTGCTCTCTCCGCGGTGCCAAAAGACAAAGGTGTAGTCTGTGCCAATGTACTTGGACGCCTCGGCGCCAAACTTGTTATGGGGCGCGTTGGCTGTGAGTCTGCGGGTGTACTTTCCGAAGTCCTCTTGGTCGGAGAGTCTCTTTTGGGTGAACTACCGTGATTGTCAGCATGTTTTCTGTTCCCGAATGACAATGTCCACGTCTTGTAAAATTTTAGAACGAGATGAATGCGACATACCTGCTTGATCTGGACCTTTGTGTAGTTGTCGTTAGCCTGGGCATCAGCAAGACCGTCGTAGTGGTGTGCCTCGCCGTACCAGGGACGCGCGCCAACGGCGGTCTCCAATGTAGAGTTCTTTGGCGCGCTGTCCCTGGAGATGCCGTCGTCGAGATACATGTCGTAGATCTGTAGGTGTTTCAGTCAGAACAAGTCTTGATAGAAGTAGGGATCTTAGTCCTTACGTTGTCCTTTCCGGGGTAGACGTGGACGGTTATGGGGTTGGCGTTTTGAGGGGTCGTGCTGGGATCGGCAACGTAGTCCCTGACGCCGACCTTGGGAATGATGGCGCCTGATTTGTTTGTTAGTCAAAGATCTCTTTCAAGAAAAGCTTGTCAAATGGCGACGATTACTGACCTTCACGGACATACATGGGAGTCGAGTACGGGAGTTGGCGCTCGTCGTCGGAGATTCGGCAGTCGTACTCGATGCGTTGGCCACCAGAGGCAGCGGGACCAAGAGGAACGCCGAGAGGGTCGTCAGGTCGCAGGTTCAAGGGGTACCAGGAGTCGGGGTACGGCAGGTAGACCTTTCTCGACTTCTTCTTGCG